ATCCTATTAATAAGCTTATGTGTAATTATTTAGAAGTTGATATTGGATATTATAAATGATGTATTTTAAAGTAGATGACCCTAATCTGGTTGAAGAGACAGGAATGTTAGACTGTATTATGTTCTTGTAAGGCTCAGCGCATCTTCTTCGCTTAAAGCTTTCCATGTGTTTGTTCTTTGCTCTCTTAGAATAACATGAATCTTTTTCTAATCAATCTATATCTTTGATAGGCGAGCTTCTCCTCTATCTCTCCCATTCTCTTCACTCTCTTAATTTCGAATATGCTTTCACTGAGAGAGGGCTTTTCTTTCTCTTCGGATTCCCGATTCCAATCGCGCCGGGCAAAGATCAGAGGGAGAAATTTGTGAAATATTAACTAAAATGTGGGGTTGGGTGGATCTTAGGTATGAATTACCTTAATCAACTCGTTTCTATCTTTTGTGAGTGTTGGGATTGTGATTAATATTGGTGAAGGTGTGTGTGTAGAAAGGGGAAGAAGAAGTGTGGGTGTTGTGTGATGGTGAGGTGATAGAAAACATGATAAGGGAGAAAGAGAATGAACTGTTAGGTATCATGGAGGTGCACACTCACCCCTGTAGGAGTAAAATGGTTAATAAATATTTTATGGAAATGCAGGTAGAAACTTTTCATTTTATGTATAATAGTTTGCAAAATATAAATAATACTATATATTAGAGAAATTTTGACAACTGATTGGTTTAAATATCTACAAAATAATTTATTTATTTTTTAAAATTTAACAGTTGTTTTCACATGTTTTTTACAAAATTGTTCCACCAGTTATTTTCTTTTCTATTTCTCCATTCATCGACGATTTATTTTCTCTTTTCCTCTCTATTCATTTGTTCTTTATCACATCAAATTTGTAATATTTATTCCTCACATTCAAAAACTTTCTTATACTTTTTTAAATTTCATATGATCATTAAATAGCTAAAATTATTAATTCATAAAATAATATATTATAGATATTTAAAAAATAGGTATACAAGAAAATCAATCATAAAAGTTTGAAATTCCATGAAAAATAAAAGTAAGATAAAGATAGAAGAAAAATAAAGAGGTGAGGTTTGGTGATGGAGGCCTAGCCAAAATTGACTCCCCAAAATGGTTTTTTAGGATGTCTCTCAATAAAATTTCCTAATCCTTTCTATAGAAAAATTGGTTTGGACCTTTTTGTGTCTTTTCTTATGAAATTTTGTTTATGTTAATGTAATATTTTTTAAATATTTTTTGTTTAATAACATTTTTTGTTTCTATTTTTGTTGATTTTGTTCAATGTTCAACTATTTTTTTCGAATGATCAATGTCGTCTCATTTTTTGTAATTTAAGTTCAATTCAGTCATTTTTCATGATGTCGTCTAAATCCTTACCCTAGATGAACAATGTGTCACATATCAAGTCAAAATCGTGTCACATGGAATCTCAATGCTACATGTCAATTCACACTAGTACAAATTCTAGATTCTGACGCGCAATACACGCTTCGGTTATCCCAAAACCGAAGCGTAAACATTTATATACCTCGGTCACCATCCAACACATGGTAGAACACATACTGCCTCGGTTCAAACAAAACCGAGGCCTATCTACCCCTGTTGCTTAGTCTGCGAACTCTGAAAAGGACCTGAGAAGTCTGACCACTACCTACTGCCTCGGTTTGCTGCGCAACCGGTGCCTAAAGCCCTCCCTACTGCTTCGGTTAGCATGAGACCGAAGCCTATACACCTCTGCTTCCCACCTGAAAGGACCTGAAAAGTCTGACGCAAGCCTACTGCCTCGGTTTGTTAAAAAACCGGTGCCTAAACCACGCCCTATTGCTTCGGTCTGCAGGGGAACCGATGCCTAAACATCCTGCTATGCCAGCTCCAACTACTGCTACGCCTGCTCCAACTTTTACTTGCCTGCTACGCCAGACCTAGGGCATCGGTTGGGTGCTGAATCGAGGTCTATTACGCACTCGTTCTACACCGTTTTGCCTTTTAACCAATGTTGTATGGGTATATTACCTCGCGTGTTTGAGTAATCGAGGTAGTAGCTCAATTAATATTTTCAAACGTAGAACCTCAATTTACGTCGACAGCTTCTTCTTCCTCGTATACGGTCTCCTTCATTTGTGCCACTACTCGCCGCGCCACCGTTTTCTGCCGCCAGTTGTGTCGTCGCGCCACCGTTTGCTGCCGCCAGTTGTCTCGCCGCGCCACCGCTTTGCTGTCACCAGTTGTCTCGCATGCCACCGCTTTGCTCGCATGCCACTGCTTTGCTCGCCTGCGTTCGTGTTGGCCACGCCTCCTCCCTTCGCCGTCACGCCATTGGTGCCTCGCCGGTGCTACCTCCGCCACTGCTGCTGCCAGTGGTCTCGCCTGCCTCGGTCTTGCTAGTGCTCGCGCATTGGCCGCGCCTCCTTCCCTCACCATCGCGCCACCGTTACCCTACCGGTGCTTCCTTCGCCACTGCTGCCTCCGCCGATACTTCCTCTAACGTTGTTTCAATCTTGCTGTCTGCCTAGAGGTTAGTTTATGGTTTCTTTTCTTTTTACTTTACGAATGAAAGTTTATATATATGTTATAGGAATCAAAGTTGCAGATATGTTTTAGGAATCAAAGTTTACAGATATGTTAAAAAAGTATAGCAAGATCGAATTATATCAAAACACATTAACCTCTTTATGTCAAATATTATTAGTAACTAAGAAATAATTTTGAAGATTTGTTGTTGGAGAAAAAGAAAAGTAGTGGACACCACTGATGCATTGATGAAACCCAATTAAAATTGTTAATATTTTTTTGTGGAGAATTATTGAAAGAGATATGTGGAAGTAGGAAAACGTACAATTATAAGTATTCTGATTGTTCTAGATTCTCTCCTATATTGAAAAGCAAACATAAATAGTAAAAGAAAGCTACAGTAAGTAAGCCATGGTAGTAATAATGGGTTACCAGGCAAATGAACTTCAAAAGGTTTGAGAAACATGTTGTAAACAAGTGAAATAAACTCAACTATTTAAACCCTAAAGTTAATTGAAATGACATTATTTACTCTTGGTTGAATATATTGTTTGGTTGAATATATTACATGTTGCATATGTAATTATTTGTTTGCTTGAATATATATTGTTGTTGTGAATTAGCCTTAGTTTCCCGTTTGAGATTCAATACAAAAATTATTTACTATCTCCAGATTTTTTGAACAAACATACTTTTTCCAAATGAAAATAGAGGAGATGGTAATAATAATTTACAAGTATTGAATCTTGAATTGTCCGGTTAGACAGTTTAAGAAGAGTAATAACTTTTTCATAGTTTATTATAACATATCAATTTTAATATACATGTCTTAAATTTCACGAAAATTTGTCGTTGTGTTTTGTATTGATCTTCGGGTGCATATTTGATTGTGATTTATAATCACTTTCATTTCGTGTAACCTGAAGACCAGTGCTGATCATTTCATTTATAATCACAGTCCTCAGAAACTTTGTTGTGGTTAGCAAATGGATTGAAGTTTGATGTTGTATGTTGTACAGGCTACAAAATTAATAATTTCACATTCTATACAAAGGCTTTGGATGATAAAAGCACAGTACAAAATAGTGGCGTCAGTCTAGAAGTTGAGTCGCTACAGTTTTCCACATCCAAATCAACATCCTATAGTTGGATCCATGAGATATTATGGTAGAATTGAAGAGATATGGGAAGTTGATTACACTAAGTTTTCCGTTGCACTCTTCAAATGTAAGTGGGTAGACAATAAGAGTGGTGTCAAAATAGATGAATCTGATATGACACTTGTTGATTTTCGAAAGGTTGGTTATGGAGTCGAACCGTTCATCATGGCATATCAGGCAAGTCAGGTTTTTTATGTCAAAGATCCTGTGTCTGACCATTGGTATGTTGCTCTCCAAGGAAAAAGGCAAATTGAAGATAAAGTAGAGAATCTAAGTAATCTTCATATCGCTGACAACCATCCATTTAAAATGACAATAAATNTATGATGAGAAAGTGTGATCTTATTTCAGTTGAATATATTGATGATATAGTATGAGAGAATTTGAAATGTGATGTGAATGAAATAGTTTGGTTATGAACGAGTATTCCAGGGAGGAATATCTCGAAAAGTGGTTATTGATTGGTAAAGTATGAATGTGGGCAAAGCTTAGCGGGCGTTTATCCTGATATTCCATGATTACTCATTCTCACATAGAGAAGAGTAAGTCATGTGTGGGAATGGCAGAGGTCCTAGTCCATTAGGTTAACTTGGACGGAACAGATTAACCTCGGGTGGCAACTGTTGAGGGTATCCCAGTTACTACATCACCCGAGTGCACAAACGTCGTAGCTACACAAGATTCATACAGTCCGGACAGTCAGAGTTAAGTGGTCGGTCTTTGTATGCTTTTACGCATGAATGATGATTTGGGTGTTGTTGATTTATTTATGAACGTTGTATGTTGTTATTGAATTAATTAAATTACATAAGCTTACCCTATTTATCATTATTGTCTGTGTTATGCGTTCGGTTGTGAGCAGAAGGAGAAGAGCTACTGGAAGAAGCATTAGAAGAGACGGAAATGAAGGCCGAACCTTAGGAACGTTCGGTCTGTTATTGGCTTTATCTTTTGTAAGACCGTTCGGTAATAGTTTATTTTTTAAACCGTTCGGTCTAGTGGTAGCTAGCGTACGATTTTAAATTCCCTGCTATTATGTAAGGCCGTTCGGCCATAATAGTATCTCGTTATGTGTAGAACTGATCTGTAATATTATTAATATGTGATTATTCTCGTATATGGTTTTATACTGTATTTTTGGGATGTTACAATCATAATCAATTTAAATGTCTTTTTTTTTTCAATTTCCAAAATATCTTTTCAAAATAAAACCGTAACAAAATTTTAACTTTCACCATATTTGAGATACATAATTGATATGATAATATTACACAAAAGACTTAGAGTAAGAACACATATAAAACACATATATGATATTATTAATACATTAATTGCATCCAACACCATATATAAGCTAGTTAATTAATTGAGTGATACATATGTATACACTCACAAAGTGAGTAATTGAGAATTTTATATTATGGCAATTGATTAAGAGTTGAAGAAAATGAATTAATCTTGAATGGCCTAAAGCCATGTCGAAGACTTGCTTGCCATATTTTCTCAACGCTAAACGTGAAATTTCCACATTCGTGAACGTTCCAACCTTCTAGGGCATGCACTATTCCGGCCACGCGCCACGCGCTCATCACTCTCCTCGGCAGCCAGTTCTGTTGTACATGCAAATTCGTTATTGTGAAATTCATTTTGGCAACAAAAATTGCACAAAACCATGATAGAAAAATATTCAAATGACAAACTTCTTATGATAAGAAATAAAATGATAGAAAGTAATTTTAAGTCTAACTCAACTTCACAAAACTGGTTTATAAAATGATGTTTGTACCTCATTTATATATTATAATTTTGTCTTATTTTTAGTCGATATAGGACTTCCAACACACTTACATATTATAATTAGACACCCTTATATATAAAAAAAAAACGATAATAGTAGACTTTCTTATAATGCACATTTAATATATACATTTATTTCATTTTGTTTAGAAGTTATAAATATAGTGATAAAATTGGAAGAAAGATAAAAAGTGTAAATTCAATTCTCTATCACATGATAATCATAAGATTGGTTTAATGGCTTAGAAAAAAGTAACATAAAAATTGTGGGTTTAATTTTCTGATATTAAGAAATAAATTTCAAATCTAAGTCAATTTCACAAAATTAATAGTGTGTAAGATGAGATTTGCACTAATTTTATATCATAAATTGATCTTATTTTTAGTTGATACGAGATTTTCAACATAAAATAACATAATATTAATAAGTGACATTTGACGATAAAAATAGAAAATTAACCCAATAACTCAGGTTTTTTGAAATTTTTTCTTTCTCTCAAACGAAAATTGCATCTTGTTATAATTACCTCACAGGAATCGACATTGACCAATGAAGGTGGAGCTATCATGGCTGGTGTGCTGTGATAGTAGCAGTCTTTACGAAGTTTCTTTGGAGGGAATTGGGAAACAGGAATGAACAATGATTCTTTTGTTGCTTTCTTTTGTTCTGCTTCGTTACATTGGTCTCCCACAAGCCAAATCTGCATATACAAATCAAAACCCATCATTTCAA